TCCATGTGATAAGGACCATTTTTTAACCCTGTTTTACAGATGAAGTAACTGGGGTTCAGAAAGCTTAAATCACTTGCCCAGGGTCCTAGCAGAACTGGGATTCAAGCTCAGATGGTCTGGGTGTACAGCCCATGCTCCCCACCCTGACTAGCCTGTTCCTAAGAGAAAGGCCAACGATGGCCATCCTGTCACCTCCCACACCCCACGCTGTCCAGGATCTTGGTGTCCAGCCTCACATAACTCCCTGGCAGGCTGCTCCCTCGGGAGCTGCTCTGTCCTCAGGAAATGCTTCCTCACTTGTTGCCTGTCCCTCCCAGCATCTGTCCCATCAACTGGGGTCAGTTTGTCTCAGAGGCCACAGAGAACACCATCTTATTAATTGGTAAGATCGGACATTCCACCTGGGTTTTCTAATCATGTAGTCATCAGTTTAAACATTCTGGTTACCACCTCTGTGCCCAGCCCTATTCTGGGTAATATTGGGGGCAAACGTGACCAATCCAATCCAGGACCCCACCTTCGAAGAACTCACAGTCCAGTGGGGGGAACAGACGGTGAGGGCCCAGAGTGCTCAGGGTTGGGATGGGGAAGTACAGGGACTGTGGGAACTCAGAGCAGCCTGGCCCAGCCTGTGGAGTCCCGGAGGACTTCCTAAAGGAGGAGACATCAGAGTTGAGACCGAGGGATGAGGAGACCAATCAGAAGAGGCCAGGAGGGTGTTCCAGATGGATAACATGTACAAAGGCCAAGAGAAGAGATATTTCCATTACAACAGCGCTTCTCAGACTCCACCCCATAATCCTGCTAAATGCAGATTCTGGTCAGGAGTTGAGCATAAGATGCTGCATCTGTTTTTTGTTTTTTTTGTTTTTTGTTTTTTTTGTGGTATGTGCCCCTAGCAGGAACCGAACCCCGGACTTTCTGGGCCACAGGCCAACGCTCAACCACTGAGCCAAACTGGCCAAGGCAAGATGCTGCATCTTAAGCACACTCCCTGGTGATGCCAAAGCTACTCTTGTAGGAAATACACTTTGAGAAGTAAGGTCCTAGGGGACCAAAAGGAAGTCCATGTTCTGACCGGGCGGGCAGGTGAGGGGCAGAGCAGGAGCCAGTGATGAGATTGGAGCCAGATTGCTCTGGGTCTCAGAAGCCATGTTCCATAGCTTGTACTTTATATGGGTGCCCTGGGGAGCCATGGGAGGCATTTGAGCAGGAGAGGGCACAGTCAGAATTAGGAAACCCCCCTACTAACAAGTGGTCTTTAAGACTGGAGGTTGGGAGCCCAGGGAGGCTGTGGGGAGGAAAAGAACAATATCTGGGACAAGGCCCAGTGCTCTGGCTTGGGTACTGGGCATGGTGGCGCCACCTTTGAGATGGGGACAGGAAGGAAGAGCTGGTAACACACCCCCTTCCTGCCACGTATACAGGCCCCTTGGGGTGGGTGGGCCCTCTCTGCCAGCCACTTGAGGCACCAACGGAGGCTTCTCTGGATAGTTGGGATATCTCATGCCTCCCCGCCCCCAGACTGGTTAGTGTGGTCCTCCTGTCACCTCCCCAGCCATTTTATTTTAAAAAGCCCTGTCACTCCAGCCCCCAAGGACCGTAGGTCTGACAGATGGCCAGACAGGCTTGGGCAGGGGAGCCGAGATAGAACGGAACTGCCAGATTTAGTCCTGTATTTCCCTTCTTCCCAAGAAAGGGCAACGCACTGGTTAATGGATTGCCTGATTTCCATTCCCTAACCCTAACCCTTTTTATTGTCCAATCCGAGCTTGTTTTCTCTCCTGTGAAGTTGGGACTCTCATACCTACCTCTCAATAATAAGAGTAGCTGATAATATTTATGGTGCTTCCTACATGCCAGCATAGTGTTCAGTACTGCACAGCTATTGCTTCCTTTATCCTTACAACAACCCCATGAGGAAGATACTTTCATCATCCCCACTTCACAGATGGGAAAGTGGAGGCCTGAGGCAAAGCGTCTTGCCCAGAGTCAGCCAGCAAGTGACTGGCTGAGCCCAGGCAGGCTGGCTTTTGCTTCTGTTTGTCTGTGTATCCTCAAGTCCCATCGCCACATGTGCACTAACGGCTGGAGGTGTGCTTAGCTCCACACACTAATTTGCTAAACAAAGATTCACCCAAGGCCTCTTGAGTGCCAGGGCTTGTAGGACAGGGGACTGAACCCATCCGGGATCCCTGCTGTCTCGGGGCTCCAAGTGCAGTGCAGGAGACAGTCATCAAGCAGCTGATCAGAGATGGTCCAGTAGCAATCTGGAATGCAGTTGTGGGTCATGGTCACATCCTTGGCCACTCGAGTGGACCTCTAAGTAGCACTTGACATTTATTTTCCTCTGTGCTGTTTCACTGTTTAGTTTCCAGATAGGCTCTATGTTCCCAACCAGGTAGGCAGAACCCCTGACCATCTTGACACCTCAGGCCCTGGAACAGTCTTGAGACACAGCTGGGCAAGGTGAGGTGGGAGAAGCTTCTAGGTTAGAAGGTCCTAGGCAGATGAGAAGGGAAGTGGGTACAGGGAGGGCATGGCTACTCTACCTCCTGTCTCCAGTTCCCCAGAGCCCTCCTTGACCCCTTGAACCCCGCTGGGCCTTTGACCCTGTGCCCTACACCCATCTCCCCAGGTGGTGATGGCTGCAGCCAATGGAGACAGAGACCGGGTCCTGCAGAAATCCCAGGACCTCAAATTCCTTTCAGGCTTTGAAACCAAGGTTGGGAGATATTGGGGGTGTAGGGGCTGGTATCTATTGGAGGGGGGCAGGGGGGCATGGGGGCTGCTTAACTATACTGAGGGAACTAGCGGGGGAGGGGGGAACTGCTGATACATTCTGCAGGGCTCTGGGGAGGAGGGGGGTGGGGAGGAGGGGGGTGGAGAATAGGGGCTACTTGACCACTCAGGAACCCTGGGAAAATGGGCACCACTTTCCTATTCTAGAAGGAAGGAGTGGGGGAATGGAGGCTGCTTCTCTGTTCTACAGTGTGGTCTGCTTGTCTGTTGGAGGCTCTGAGAGGGAGTGAAGGGCCATTTCTTTTGGGAGGAGAAGAGGGCTGCTTGTCTTCTGGGGGTTCTGGAAGGAGCCTGGGGCTTGTGTTTATACTCGAAACTGAGGGAACTGAGGGCTGCTTGTGGGTTCTGGGTTAAGAAGAGGGCTGTGCCTCCGTTCTTCCTCACCCCTAGGCATTCTCCGATGCCCATGTGGAGGCGGTGATGATCCTGGGAGAGCCCTTTGCCACCCAGGGCCCATATGACTTTGGGGCAGGTGACACTGCCCGACGCGTGCAGGGCCTCATCCCGGTGCTGCTGCAGCACCGGCTCCGCCCTCCACCGGAGGAGACCTATGCCCTGCACCGCAAGCTGGCAGGGGCTTTCCTGGCCTGCGCCCACCTCCGTGCCCACATCGAATGCCGGGACCTTTTCCAGGACGTCTACCACCGATACTGGGCCAGTCGCCAGGCTCAGCCACTGCCGGAAGCCTCTTGACCAGAAGGGAGGTCCAGTCAGACTTCTCCGACAGCTTCCCTCTTGGGAATCAGGTCCTTGGAGGGCCATCCTTGCCATGATGCCTCCTTTCCACTCTGCTCCTGTCTGGGGACCCAGCCCTGGGCTTCCCAGTCTTGCCTAGCACCGCTCCCTGGAGACTGGGGAACCCTTGGCTGGGGAACTCCCCACTCCAAAGTGGGCATTAATTTATTTCTGCCAACATTTGAGGGAGCTTCGGGCCCCCTGCACACCATAGTGGAGATGCACACCTATCTAGAGGGAGCCCTCCGCCTGTGCCCCAGGTCTCCCACAGATCTGGCCAATGAAAGGGGAGGGGTGGTATGTGGTGGAAGCAGCTCTCACCTTTGCCTCTTTTACCCCTCCACCAGCTGCCTTCTCCCCATCCATTCTCTCTGTGTTGGGGAGGGGTTGGGGGGAGGGGTTTGAACCTGAATAAAAGCGGCCCTCCCCTTCTCCAGCTCTTTTCTCTGTGCTGGGGTGGGGGAAGAAGGAGTTCCCGGACAGCCTCCAGGTGCAGATGGCCAGCCCCCTCCCACCCTCTTGTCTGAAAGCCCCAGTCCTGCCCGGGCCATCTGTTGCCAGGAACCTCCTTCTCCCTTTCCCTCCCACCCCCAACCCCTCCCACACGTGCCGACCACCTGCTCGAAATACTGCGGCAGCTGAGAAGGCCTCCCACCCCCGCCGCCACCACCCCGACGCCCCGGCTCCCAATAACCTATCCTTTGCTAATGGACCTTAATGCCCCTGCCAGCTGCTTTACCAAACCCACAGAATCGGGCGGGAGCGGGGGCGCAGAGCGGCCAGACCGCGCCCTGGTCCCAGCCAGCATCCCCACGGCCTCCGCAGAGCCGATCGCGTCCGCACCAGGACGCTGGGGGTCTGTTCACTCCCCCCTCCCATTCCTTGCGAAAAGTGCCTCGTCACTGCTCCTGCCTGCCCCCGCCGGGCTGGGAAAATCGTGGGGTTAACTGGAAGATTAGAGGATGTGGGGCGGTGAGGCGCTTCCCGAAGCAACTCTTTCGGACGCAGAATTGAAGGAGATTCGAGGTCAGTGGTCAAGGAAAGGAAGGGAGTGCAGGCCTCGAAGGACCAGGGCAGAAAGTCTCCGCGAGGATCCAGTTCACGCTCACTCGGGGACTGGCCAATGGGCGTGGCGGGGCGGTGGCTGCACCGGGGAGGGCGGAGCTACATTTGCGTATGGGCGTGGCCTGGGAGCCGGAGCGAGGCTAGTGCCGGCGGGGCGCCGGGCCGGGGCGGAGTCTTTCTGTGAATCCAGCCGGCGGAGGGCCAGGGGGCGGGGCGGGGGCGAGGCGGGAGGGGCGCTCCTCCGCCCCCGGATCGGAAATCTGGAGCCGAGCAGGCTCGCGCGTGTGCATCCCACACCATTCCCGGGTCTCCGGCCCCGGCCAGCGTCCGCCACAGCCGCCGCCACAGCAGCCGCAGCACTCGGGGATCCGGGTCCAGCCGGGGCCGCGGGAGGCGGGGGCGCCCGGGCCCTGGATGTCCCGCAGCGCGGCGGCCAGCGTGAGAAGGGCGGGAGAGTGGGGCTCGGGTGGGGGGCGGCGCCGCTGCTGATGTGGCGGAGGGTGGGAGGCGGCCGTGGCGCCCGGATGGAGGGAGGGTGCCAAGGCTGGCAAGGGTGGTCCTGGGTGGGGGTCCGCCAACAGGCCACACCAAGCTAAAGCTTGGGAGACAGGGATCTCGCCACAGGCCCTCCTTTACCAAGGCCCTAGAGATGGGGATCCCGGACACAGAACTCCCCCTCAGAAAAATCAAGGACAGGGGACAGATTCTCAGAACAACTCCCTAGGCAAGGTTTTGGGGATGGGTCCAGGGCACAACGCCCATATGAAGCCAAGGCCTCCGGGAAGCAATTCCAGACCAGACGCCATCCCGACTCCTCCCTGCCCGAGGGGGTCTCCGAGCACAACAACCGTCTGAGCAAGGTCTTGACGAGGTCCCTGGGCACAGCTTCCCCACCAAGCCAAGGCCTGGGTGGGGGTGGGGGTGGGGGTGGGGGTGATTCCAGGCACGAGCTGTCCCCAGGCCTCAAAGGCATTCTGGGCACAGCATCGCCCCCCTCCCAATCCTTGGGCGGTGTCCCAGGAACAGCCCCTTCTCAAAACAAGTTCCCTGTGCCTAGGACTCCACCCCCACCCCAGCCTGCCTGAATACAATTAGGGAAATTTCAGGCACATCTCCCCTTCTCCCCCTGCTTGGTCAAGAGTCCCAGGGCACAAGTCCCCTGGGCCACCCCCTTTGTCCCTGGGGCTGCCCAGCTGCCTGGGAGTGGCCCCATCCTCAGATAATATGCTGTCCCCCAGGCTCCAGGATTCATGCTGGAAGGGGGGAGGCTCTCCAGAGAAAGGGTGCAGCCTTGTCTGTCTGCAGCATCTGAGGTGATGGCGGCTTTGTGTGTGGTACCTGGGGGGGAGGGGGAAGCAAGCGGTGGGGAGGTGGCTAAGAGTGTGACCCCGTGTTTGTGTGACTGGCTGTGTGTGTCTGTGCTGCAGGGGTCACTATGAGAAATCCTGTGTGTGCGCGCCTGTGTTTTGTGCTTGTGGTTGTGTCTGTGAGTGACCCCAGCATTTGTGTGACTGTTGTATGTGTGTATGACAGCTGCTCTGAAAGAACCCTATACTTTTTAGTCTGTTTGAGTGTGTGCATGGTTGTGACTGTGGGGTTGCCCCGTGTTTGTGTGCCTTCGTAACTATAACTGGGTATGTGACCGTGTATGTGTTGAGTCTGGGGTTGAGCATGTGTGTGGTTGTCTGAAGATGTGAGTGGAGTTGTGATTGTGTGTAAGTGGAGTTGTGTCTATGACTGATTATATTTGTGTCACACATGGGTCTGTGACACACAATGTCCCTGCAACTGGATATGTGACTGCTATTGTTTATGAAGTCAGTCACATTGTGCCCATGTGATGGGTTGTGTGATGGCAATGTGATTATATGTTTGCATGGCTGGTTGTGTGTTCAGAGCCATGTCTGTGTGTGTAACTGGGGTTGGATAAATGACTGCATCTAGCTCTGTGTGTTGATACTGAGTGATGGTGTGCAGTTATAGTCGCGAATGTGTGACTTGGGTTATGAACTTGACTTGAGGTCTGAAACTCTGGCTGACCATTAATAGTGGGTTATTTCACTGTGTCTGCGTCAAGATATAGGTGTGTTTGTTTGTGGTGGCACCAGCTTGCTGTGTGTTGGAGGGGGTGTAGGTGACTGGGGCTTCTACATTTGTGTATGACCTGCATGTCCGTGACCCCAGTGACTATATGTACTTGTGTCTGTCATGGCCTGTGAGAGTGTGTCTATAGATGTGTGACTGGGGTGTGTGTGTCTGTGTGTTAGACTGCTTGTGTTTGAGTGTGTGATTTGGTGACAGGGTGACTGTTGGGAACTGTCTTTTGCATAAATGCAGCTATAATGCTATGTCTGGGTCACTGCGTTTCTAAGCATGCACCTGACTGTGTGCTTGTGATTGTAAAGTGGAAATTGTGTATTGATGTCTCTGTGTGTGAGATATGTGTCTGGCTACATGGGGTTGTGATTGTATGTGGCCACTTGTCTGTGTGACGTGTGTTTCTCTGTGATGCTATGATGTGGTACAGCTGGGTATGGGATATTGGGTGCTGGGATTATACTGTGATATATGGCTGAGTAATATGGACACTGACTGAGACTTTGCATACAACTGCTTCTGAAATGTGCATGGCTGTGACTCTGAACCACTGGCTGTCTGGCTGTGTCTAAGTGTGGCCATCCTTGGATAGGTGTCTCTGGGTGCTTGTATGCATATCTTGAGTGTGCAAGCCTGTTTCTCTAACGCATGGGCCATGGCCATCAGTGTCTCTGTGTGATTGGGTATGGAAGACTGTCCATATAAGTTAGTTGATACTGTGACTAGATGCGAGGCCCTATGACTGGGCATGTGTGATTGTGTGATAGTGTGTGACCAAAAAGATGTGTTCGTGTGACTCATATAAGGGATTGCATATCCATGTGCAGCTGTGTGCCTGTAGGTGATTAAACACATGTGGCTGTGACTGGGTGTAGCTGTGTGTGACCAAATGTGTCTGCGAGCATCCATGACCAGATGTCAACACACAGCAGCGGAGCTAGGTGTGACAAGTGTTTATGTCTATGATTGCGTGTGTGACTGGGTGTGACTCTGTGAGTGGGTCTGTGACGTGAGTATCCTGGGTGGCTGCCCGAGGAAACATAACTGTCATTGGGTGTGGCTGTACGCGTGCCTCTCTGGTGGGTATGCCTGGGCTCAGCTCTTTTTATGTGGTTGAGAAAATAAAAGTGGCCAAATATCAGTAGCTGAGTGACCCGGTGTTTGTGGCAGTGCCTAGGCAGGCTAGGATCTGCATGCATGTAGACATATGTCAGTAGTGGAGACTGCGAATATCTGTGAACATGGCTATGTGACAAGGTGTTTTAGGTATGTCTGTGTATAACTAAATACACAGACCTGTCACCCGGTGCTAGGAACAACTGTAGGCATGAGTTGCATCATACATGTGACTGTATGTTTGTGTATCCCTGAATATGTGTCTAGAGGGTAAGGCCACTCCCTCCTTACACCATCCTTGTGGGTACTAAGCACCTCCTGAGGCCAGGATATCCCCTAAGAAATGCCCCCAAAACGCAACTAGGTGGCTCATTTTCCTTGTAACAGTTGCTATGACAACCAGGCTCTCATCAAGGAGCCTGAGATGGAGGGGGGTTGGCTGATGTTCAAGGAGGGGGGTGAAATAGGGTACTGCGCCCATCCGAAGCCAGCCTCTTACCTTTTCCTGTCCCTTGGGCAGGGCGGACCCAGAAGGCCTGAGCATCATCTGCCCCCAGCCCCCTGTGGGGCCCCGGGGCCCCCTGAGACCTCCAGGACGGAGCCAGGTGAGTAACCAGCTGGGGACAGGGCAGGGACTGAGTGGGTGGGTCTGCCTAGAACTGTCCCTTGTAGTCAGACAGGCCTAATCACACCCTTAAATCCCTTTCCTGCACACTTGGTAACCATCCAAGCCCAACTCGTGCACAGACACACAGACCTGGACTATGTCACTCACACACACACACACACACACACACTGGGACATTCAGACACACACTGACCTCCCCACACACACAAGTACAGGGTCACACAAACATACAGAAACATTCTCAGGCAACACCCAGACTCCCTCAGACAGGCGACTACTATCTGTCCTGCACAGATAGTCAGCCAGACTACATATACAGACCCACACTTTTATAGACAACAGCCGAACTTTCTCAAGCAGACGCTGCCTCACAGACAGCACCTGTGGACCCATTTTCTCATAAAGAGCTCATTTCTGCACACACAGTCTCAGAAATAGTACCCAGCACTCACAGACAACAGCCACATTCTCACACAGCCACATCCTTATAAAGAACAGCCACAAACAGCTCTCAAAGACAACAACCTCATGTTCTCACACACCCTCACAGATGCACAGATGACATACTGACACACCCTCAGAACAACACTCATGGACCCAACTCTACAACAACAGTCACATGCATTGACACACACACACGCACCCTCACAAACAACAGCTGCGGTCTTGGACATAGGCATGATCTCTTGGGTAACTGTCATACATATGCTGTCATAGGCAAAAGTGATCAATGACAATAGCCACACCCTCACACAGACACACAACTTTTAAGACAACAGCTTCTTGCTCAGAGACACATCCTCACAGGCAGCATTTCCTATCACACACTCACAACCACTCTCACACATAGACACCTTTCAGCAACACCCTTCAGGGACCTACACCGGCAGACAACAACCACACTCTTGGACATGGATCCCCTCACGGACAGCATGCAGACATACACTCTAGGAAGTAACCGCTCTCAGGCCCCCATCCTTTCAGGCAGCCTTCAGAAATACACACACTCACAACAGTTACATGTTCAGCTCTAGTTACCTCACAGATACCATTCAGCAACACAGTAGCACATACTTGCTTGCACACACATTGTCCCCATCTGCTCTTGGTGCAAAAAAAATGCCCTGGGTGTCTCCTCCTCCTCCCGGGACTGCCGGTATGGCTTATCAGTCAGTGAAGAGTGTCTTAGTCAATGCTGACTGTTTTAGTAGCTGGCCACCTGCACCCCTACCCCTACCTCTGACGGTCACAGGTGCACACTGCCCAGGGTCCCCTGCTTTAGACTAGATACAGTCATTAGAGGGGCGGTAGCTCAGGGGCACAGAGACAAGCCCTTGTTCTCCATACCCTCTGGCCTGGGCTCTGGACCTCAATCCCTGGATCTTCTAAGATCTCCCCCCATTGGACCCATGCAACTCCCAACTCCTGTGCCCTCTGACCACCTCATCCCCTGACCTCATTCCCCTAAAGCCATTCACCTCATGACCCCTGACTCCATGCCCTGCGATTCCAGTACCCTCCCATGCCTTGATTTCCCATTACTCTGTATCCTCTTGATTCTAGACTGGCACATCCCCAGTCTTCAGACCCCTAAAAGCAGTGACCCCTGTCCCAGACCTCCCTGCCCCTTAGCTCCACCCATGCCCTCTGAATCCCCACGCTGACTCTGGCGCTCCCCTGCTTCACTCCCTTCCCCTGTGCCCTGACTGCCGCTGCTCCTAGTTCCCTGGTCATACCCTCTGACCCAGTGACCCCCTAACCCTGTAACCCTACCCCTTTGTTATCTCACCCTGCTTCCTGAGCACTGTGTCCATTCCCCGTGAGCCCCATGCTTCTGACCCTGGCCCTTGACCCACTCTCTGTCCTGTGTCACCAGACGGGGCTGGCACCATGAACAAGTTACGGCAGAGTCTGCGGCGGCGGAAGCCAGCCTATGTGCCCGAGGCCTCGCGCCCACACCAGTGGCAGGCGGACGAGGATTCTGTGCGCAAGGGCACTTGCAGCTTCCCTGTCAGGGTGAGTGGGCGGGGCGGGAGCGGGGCGAGGGGCGGGGCGGGATGCCAGCCGTCCCAGCTGAGTGAGGAGGTTCTGGCCTGTGTGGCAGAGACAGGGCATGGACAAAGAACTGTGGAGCCTGCCAAAGTATGACTCCACTGCCTCAGTCCTTCCGAGCTGGGGTTCCAAACCTAGCCCCGGCCTGTGCTGCTCAGTTGGTTGAGCCTCTGGTACACTAAAACGTCCCTGGTTGGATTCCTTTACCGGCCGGTGCCCCCAGGTTGCCGGATCGACTCCCCAGTAGGGGGAATGCAGGAGCCAGCAGATCGATGTTTCTCTCACACATCAGTGTTTCTCTCTCCCTCTTTTCCTCTCTCTCTGAAAGCCATAAAAACATATTTTTAAAAAACAGAAACCTACACACATTCTCTTATACTAGGAAAATGTTGCTCAAGTGACATCATGCCTGGGTCACCCCATTTTGTGGGAGCTCACAATTTCCAGAGGGCACTGGAAAATCACAAACATTTTATAGCATTTGCACAACCATGATCCTTTGCAACACACACTACACTTTTATAAGGGAGACAGCAGGTTCGGGTTTACATCCCAATTTCGTCGCTTCCCTAGATGCAGACCTTGAGTGTGAGGTGTCGGTTGGGGAGTGTGGAAGGGAAGGCAGCCATTCCATGGTGGGTTACTAAGCTGCAGCTGTGGGCAACTGAGCTTAATTCCACTGGGGACTCTGGGAAGTAGAGCCACCCACCCACAGAGGGGGAGAGCTAGGGCATGTGTACCCCAACTCCCATCAGTCACTGCTGGCACCAGCCCTCAGGGACAGACATGCAGATGCTGGCACCCAGGACAGCAGTGATGGGTGAAGGCCCAGGGATAGAGGCAGGATGGGAATCACTTCTGCAGGCCTTGCTGCGGTTTCTCGTCTGTATATCTGGGTTGGAAGGCAGGACCCACCTTGTAGAGTTGAGGGGCAGAATCAATGAGTTAATACATACGACGTGCTTAGGACTTCATATGATGCATCGCAGCTGCTCAGGGGACACTGGGAGTTATTGATTACTGTGTTTATTTCATGTCTTCCTATTTCCTCCCTCCCAAGTACCTGGGCCACGTGGAGGTGGAGGAGTCCAGGGGGATGCATGTCTGTGAGGACGCCGTGAAGAAGCTGAAGGCGGTGAGTGAGGGGCTGGCGCAGGGAGGGGCAAGGTCAGACCGGACCAGGCAGCCCTCCTCAGGCCCTCTATTCTCACCTCCCCCGCAGATGGGCCGGAAGTCTGTGAAGTCAGTCCTGTGGGTGTCAGCGGATGGGCTCCGAGTGGTGGACGACAAGACCAAGGTAGGAGGCCCGTCGGGGTGGGAGAGCGCACCAGAGGGCCCCTCTCCTCGCCCTGCTCGAATGTGGCTGAGGATGCCTTCTCACGCACCTCTAGGATGTCCCTCCCTCAGGGGCTTTCTAGACTATACCATGTGCTGTTGCACGTCTTGGGACACCTCACAGTCATAATTCAGGACTGAGTCCTGTGGCTGTTTGTGAGCTGGCATAGAGAGTGGGTAAAAGCACAGACTGGAGCCCTGGCCAATTTGGCCAAGCGGTTAGAGCGTCAGCCTGCGGTCCAGAGAGACCCGGGTTCGGTTCCCGCTGAGGACATGTACCTCGGTTGCAGTTTGTCCCTGGCCCTGGTTGGTCGTGCGGGTGGTGGCCACTCGATGTGTCTCTTTCACATCGATATTTCCCTCTCTCTTCCTCTCTCTCCCTCCCACTCTATCTGTACAAAAAATGGAAAATGTCCTCGGGTGAGGATAAAAACATAAAAAAATGAAAAATAAAAAATAAAAGCACAGACTGGAGCAGCCGCCTCAGCTCCGACCCCAGCTCACCCACTTACCCACTGGGTGACCCTGGGTATGAGACATAACCCTTCTGTGCCTCAATTGTGTCACCTGTAAAATGGGAATAATGAAAGACCTTACCATTCTTTACCTGAGAAAGTATATCACGTAATTTAAAACTACACCTACGTCAGTTGACAGAGAATATCAACTAGGTGTTTCATCACCAAAAAGGATTTACTTGGGAAAAAGGTTTGCAACCCAGAGCACGCAGACATGGCCGCCACGTGCATGCTCTGGCCTGCGTGCCAGGGTGGAGGGGTGTTTATAGAAGGAAAGGGAAGTTAAGGGGAGTGGAAATTAGAACTATAGAGGTTTATTATAAACACAGAGTTCTTCCCGTAGGGTTCTTGTGATTACCTGGAGTGCAAGAACTTCCATGAGCCCTAGCTCCTCCCATACCCTCCTAACTGATTATGTTTGCTCAAAGTTCCTGTTAGTCTTTATCACCTGGAGCAGCATAAGTGTTCAGATCAATGAATGTTAGCTGTTATGTGTTTGTTGCCAGTCTACCCAGCCAGACAGGAGTGCCAGGGGGCCAAGATCTGGGTATCTGTTTGCTCACTTTTGAATTCCCTGCCTCCAGCCCAGAGACTACCAGAGGCGGCAGCCAAGCACATGATGAGAGTTAGGTTAGTGACCAAACAGTGTTGACACCTTTGCACAGGTAGTTCCCTCAGCCTGAAATACTGTTCCCTGCCTTTTTGCCTCCAGGAGGCTTTGCCTGACTCCACCCAACACACATACCCAAGTTGGGTCAGGCACCTCCTCTTGGCTCCTGCAGGCCCCTGTGCCTCCCCCATCCCATCTGTGACCTCTCTGCCTGTGCCTCCCTTGTTACGGCCTGGCTGTGACTCTGGGCTCTCTCCTGGTGATGGGTCTGATTCTGCACTGGGGGCCCCATGCCAACAGGGCCCGCAGCAGGATGCAGAGGTTGCTGAGCGCCTACCCCAATCAGGATGGAATCTAGAGCAGACACTAAGGGAATGTTGAGTGAATACATGAAAGACAGTTCACATTCCTCTCCTGGCCTCCCTGACCACTCCCAGGACCTGCTGGTGGACCAGACCATCGAAAAGGTCTCCTTCTGTGCTCCTGACCGCAACCTGGACAAGGCTTTCTCCTACATCTGCCGCGACGGGACCACCCGCCGCTGGATCTGCCACTGTTTCCTGGCACTCAAGGACTCCGTGAGTATCGCCAGATCCCAAAGCCTGCTGAGTCCTCTGCCATACCCCGGCAGCCCAGCCCCAGCCCCAGCCCCAGCCCGCCGAGTGGAGGCAGAAAAACCACTCACCTCTGCTCTCCAGGCCTGGTGTCCTCGTCCAGAAAAGGGACTGTACTCAGGGCTCCGAACCAGAGGGCTATGGGGGACTCAAGTGGGTTAATACACAGGATTTAGAACAGTGCCTGGCACATAGGATGCACTCAGGAAAACATTGGTTATCATCGTCCTCCTTATTAGCAGTAGTTCTTCATGTTTCTCTAACTTCTCTTTTATATCTATCTATCTATCTATCTAGATAGATAGATAGATAGATAGATAGAAAGATAGATATTTTTATTGATTTTGTTTTTTAGAGAGAGAGAGAGAAACACTGGTGCGAGAACATCAGTGGGCTGCCTCCTGCACGTCCCCTAGTCGGGGTTGAGCCCTTACCCAGGCATGTGCCCTGACTGGGAATTGAACAGGTGACCTCTTGGTGCATGGGACGATGCTCAACCCACTGAGCCGCACCGACCAGGAGTCTCTAACTTTTCTAATTGAGGATCATATACATACAGTCTTGTGCACTCCATGTCCAGCTTCGTGAATTTTTGTTTCTGGATAAACCCCACCCATGTCAAGTTGTTTTTCTGCCCCCAGCAGGTTCCCTCAGGCCCTTCTCAAACAATATCCCTCCCCCACTCTTCCTTCAGCCTTGATTCATTTTGCCTGTTTTTCTTTATATTTTGGAGGGGTCAAGGTCCCCTCTCAGAATAGGATGAAAGCAACAAATGGGCTGTCTTCTCAGAAGCATTCTCACAGTTAGGATTCTGAGGCTTGGGAAGAAAGCCCCCAGACACAGTGATTTCAGAGGCAGGCAACAGAGCAGTGGTGTGGCTCTCCACTCACCAGGGGCCACGGCTCCTTTCATCAGTGGCTGTGCTGAAGTATGGCTCCACTTTGTGACCCATGATAGATGCGCATGCCCCAACCTTCACATCTTCGTTCCAATCACAGAATGAAGAGAGGCATGCCCTTTCCTCTTTGGGAGCTGGGTATCATTTCTAATTGCATTCCATTGATCAGAACCTAGTCACATGGACATCCCTACCTGCAAGAAATGGAAAATAGTCTTTATTCTGCCCTGTCCCCCGGACCCTGGATTCAGTCCCCCACCCAACTTGTTAGGAAGCTACATTCTCAACCTCCTACATTAGCCAGTTCTTGGTTGCTGGCAATAGAAACTAATCTGGCTAACTTAAACCTAAAATAAGATTCATGGAAGGCTATGAGGAAGCTCAGAATTGAAGGGCATTCAGAGCATTAGGCATCAGGAAGGGCAGAGAGCAGGGCAGCCTGGGACGCTGCACCAGGGGACAGTTACTCCAGGGCACCATTATGAGATGAACCCACCTCTCAACGCTTTGGGTTCAGATTCTGGTAAGAGTGCATGGGATTGGCCTGGCCTGGGTCACTGTCTTCCCCTTGGCCAGGGGCAGGTGCAGCACCTAGACTGATTTATGCGGTGTTGCCAAGGAGTTCCCAGAGAGGATACTGGGGGACACTGGACAGGTAGAACAATGCCTGTACCTTGCAGACCTTAACAGTCTCCACTCAAGGATTCCTTCATATTTCAGAAATCCCCACTGCAAAGAGCTCTGAGCCCCCAAAAGGAGTCAGTACCCCCAAACTTCCTCACTCACACACACACGCACGCACACGCAATTTTAGAACTGAAGCCAAGGGTATAGAAAACAAATGTGAGGGTGTCAGTATTGATTAGCCGGTACTAACTGATGCCTGCCAGGGACTAGTGTGAAACCAGGGCCCATAGGAACTGCTATTTCTGGGGAATAGCAGAGTCGTTGTATCAGTTATGTGTTGTGCATAACGAATTTCTCCAAAATGTAGCAGCTTAAAATTTCAAGCACTTATTCTCTCTCACGTTTCTGTGGGTCAGGAATTTGGGAAAGACTCAGCTGAGAAGGGCTGGCTCCAGGGTCTCTCCCACTGGTGCATCAGATGGTGTGTGGGGCTGTAATACCAGGGACTGGCCGAGCAGCTCACCCTTCGTGTAGTCACAGGCCCTCTCCACAGGGTCTGCAGCACGGAGGCTTTAGAAAGCTGGTTTCTTTTCTTTCTTTCTTTTTTATTCCTCACCCGAGGATACCTTTCCATTTATCATCAGATAGAGTGGGAGGGACAGAGAGAAACATCGATGTGATAAAACCACATCGACTGGTTGCCTCCCCCACGACCTGGCGGGGGATGAACCACAACCTAGGTACTGCCCTTGACCGGAATCGAATCCGCGACTCATTGGTCCGCGGGCCGATGCTCTAACTGCTGAGCCAAACCGGCCAGGGCCAGAAAGCTGATTTCTTACATGATGGCATAGGGCTCCAAAACAAGGGGAGGGAGATGGAGATAGATCGGGGTGGGGGTTGCTTCAGCACAGTACTAGCCAGGAGGGGAAGGTGTGTTGCCTTTTGGACTTGTTAGAGACCACAGCCTTGTTTGTCCAGACAGTCGTAGAGGTCTAAACCGAGCCACCCAGCCAGGGCAGTCTTTTCACTCACTGGATAGTGTCCTTTGATGAGCAAACATTTTTAATTTTGATGAACTTCAGTTTATCTATTTTTTCTTTTCTTTGTGTGTGGTGTGTGTGTGTGTGTGTGTGTGTGTGCGCATGTTCTTGGTGTCATAACTAAGAATCCATGTTTTATTTATAAAATTCCATGTTTTAGCCTGGCCAGTGTGGCTCAGTGGATTGAGTGTTGTTCCATGGACTGAGAGGTCTTGGTTCAATTCCCGGTCAGGGCACATGCCCGGATTGCAGGTTCGATCCCCAGGGGGGGCCGTGTAGGAGGCAATCGATGTTTATCTCTCTCCCTTCCTCTCTTTAAAAAAAAAAAAATCAATGAAAACATATTTAGAAAGTTAAAAATCCCATGTTTTTAAATTTTTTTTATTTATTGATTTGTTTTTGTTACAGATGTTTCTCATTTTTCCCCCATTGACACCCTCCTCCCCTCCCCCCATCCCATCCCCAGCTTCCTTGTCTATGTTCATTGGTCATGCATTCATGCATATAAATTCTGTGGTTTATCTCTTAAAAATCCCATGTTTTATTCTAAGAGTTTTATAGTGTCAGTTCTTCTATTTAGGTATTTGATCCATTTTGAGTTAATTTTGGTAAATGGTGTGAGTTAGGGGTTCATCTTTTTTTTTCATGTGTGTATCTGTAGTCCTAGCACCATTTGTTAAAGAAACTATCCTTTCTCCATTGAATAGTCTTGGCACCCATATTGTCAAGACAATCAATACTCTGTAGATGTGTGGGAATATATCTGGTGGCTCAGCTCTGTTCCATTGGTCTATATGTCTATCCTTATGCCAGTTTCACACTGCTTTGACTACTGTAACTTTGAAGTTTTGAAACTGAAAAGTGTAAGTTTTATTTTGTTCTTTCTTGAAATCGTCTTGGCTATTCTGGGTTCCTTGCAATTCCATATACATTTTCGGATTAGCTTTTCCATTTCTGTAAGTGTCCATTGGGATTTTGACAGGGATTGCATTAAATCTGTAGACTTTGGGAAATACTGCCATCTTAACAAGATGAAGTCTTCCAATCCATGAACACAAGATGTTCCATTTATTTAGGTCCTTCTAAATTTTTTCAGTGATGTTTTGTAGTTTTCAGTATATATGTCTTTCATTTCCTTGGCTATATTTAGTCCTGACCATTTTGCTCTTTTAGATGCTACTGTAAATGAGATTATTGTCTTAATTTCATTTTTGCATTGTTCACTGTTAGTGTATATAGATGTAACTGATTTTTGTTGATTTTGTGCCTTGCAAGTTTGCTGAATTCATTTATTAACACTAATAATTGGTGGATTCTTTAGGACTTTCTACACGCAAGATCATGTCATCTGCAAATAGAGATAATTTTACTTCTCTCTTTCCAATTCCGATACCTTTTATTTCTTTTTGTGTGTGTGTCTAATTACTCTGGTTAGCACTTCCAATACAATGTTGAATAGAAGTCATGAAAATGGACATTCTTGTCTTGTTCCTGATCTTAGGGGAAAATTTCAGTATTTTACCACTGAGTATGATGTTAGCTGTGACTTTTTCATAAATGTCCTTTGTCAGGTTGAGGAAGTTCCTGTCTATTCCAAGTTTGTTGAGTGTTTTTTTTATCATGAAAGAGTGTTGAATTTTGTCAAATGCTTTTTCTGCATCAATCAAGATGATCATGTGGGTTTTTTCTTCATTCTACTAGTGTGTATTGATTGATTTTCATGTGTTAAACCAACCTTGCATTCCTTGGATAAATCCCACCTGATCATGGGGCATACTGTTTTTAATATGCTTCTGGATTCTGTTTGCTGGTGTTTTGTTGAAGATTTTTGTCCCCAAGTTTAACTTTTTTTTTTTTTTGATTGATTTTGGAGAGAGAGGAAGTGAAAGGGAGGGAGAGAGAGAAACATCAATGAGAGAGAACATCGATTGTCTGCCTCCTACATGGTCCCCACTGGGGATCAGGCCCACAACCCAGGCATATGCCCTGACCAGGAATTGAACCAGCGACCTCTTGGTGCATGGTTCAGCACTCAACCACTGAGCCACACCTGCTGGACCCCAAGTTTAACTTTAAGAGGTGGTTGAACATCTTGGTTAAGAAACAGAAGTCTTCCCTGACTACTGTGGCTCAGTAGTTAGAGTGTCAGCCCGTGCACTGAAGCAATCTGGTTCGATTGCTCATCAAGGGCACATACCTGGGTTGCAGGTTGGATCCCCCGCCCTGGTCAGGGCACATGCAGGAGGTAACCAGTGTGTCTCTCATCACATCAATGTTTCTCTCTCTCACACTCCCTCCCTCCCTTCCACTCTCTCTAAAAAAAATCAATGGAAAAAATATCTTTGGGTTAACAACAACAACAAAAAAAACAGAGGTCTGACAGATCTCATGAAAATCCCAATTCTGCCACTCATTATGATGGGTGTATTAACTGAGCCTCCATTTCTTCATCTGTAAACCAGGTTCATAAGAGTGTGCACCTCCTGGCTATTGTGAGGATTCCGTAAAAGGATGCAAGTCAGGGCTCAGCCTGGCCTGGATATATTTACACTGACACAGTGTGGTGTTCTCTGTGCTGCACACCTTGCATATATTAGTTTACCTAGTTCCTGCAGTAACCCTATGAAGTAGGTGCTGTTAGGGAGACTTCCTTTTACAGATGAGGAGGCTCAGGCACTGCACTGAGAGGTGAAGTGATTTTCTTGAGAACACACAGCTGGAAATTGGGAAGCCAGCATTAACCCGGGCTGTCTGGCCTTGGAGCCTCTCAAGTAGGCACTCAGGAAACAGTGACTGTCGTTTCTTACTCTCAGCATCCTATTACAAATGTTTTCAAGCAAAGTTGAAAGACTTGTACAGTAACCAGCCACCTGTACACATACCACCCAGATTTGCCCGTGCTCACTCTGTTGCTTATCTGTCCATCTCATTTCTGATGCCTTTTAAAGTTGCAGATACCAGAACACTTCCCCCAAACACTTCGGCATGTATACCATTAAGTAGAATTCATATTTTTTCCAGATTTTTTTTTTTAAGTACAATAGCTATTTATTCAGCCTCTCATCATGCCAGAATGTTCTGTGCATCTCCCGCTGTACTGAGCACACCCTCTGGAGAACAGGCAACATTATACATCAAATTATATTTCGTGTTACCCGATTCTATAAATGCGAAGTGAAAATGATTTCAGTTTCTTTTAACATTACTAGTGACCAATTCAGCATAAGATGTGAGGCGCAACATCTTAGTAAAATGACACAAAAAGAGCAGTAATGTAATTTTCACTTAAGGTTAACTTGCCATAATTTGTTATGAATATACCAAGACAGTCTTTTAAAATGTTATGTTTGCTAAGATTCTGGCAACAGCTTTATGTAACAAGGCACAGTGTACCTGTCCTGCCACTCAACTTGCATGTGATGTCTCAGCTTGAATATGAAACTATGACAAGAGCTAACCTAAAACCTGCCTTTCACATGCTAAATATCTTGGCGAGAATGCCATTAAATGCAGTAAGGAATTTAAGATAGCAAGAATAAAAAGTTAATAAAAGCTAAACATCACAGCCTAAATAAAATTCATATAAAACTGTTACTGGTCACATAAAGTTTTCCTGACTGGCTAAAACTTAACAGTATAAAACATGCATTTTAGAATATTTAGCTATCAAGTTCAAAAAGTCCCAGTGTCTAAGCCCTGGCCAGGTAGCTCAGTTGGTTAGAGCATCGTCCCGATACGCCGAGGTTGCAGGTTCAGTCCTCAATCAGGGCACGTACAGGAGTCAACCAATGAACATATAAATAAATGGAACAATCTCTCTCTCTCTCTCTTTCTTTCTGAAAAGAAAAAGTACCAGTGTCTATTTGTTTTTATTATTATTTTTATTTTATTTATTTTTTATTGCTTTCAGAGAGAGAGAGGAAGGAAGAGAGAGAGAAACATCGATGAGGGAGAACATCAATCAGCCACCTCCTGCACGGCCCCCCACTGGGGATCGGGCCCACAACCTGGGCATGTGCCCTGACCAGGAATCGAACCCTTGACCTCTTGGTGCATGGGTGGACGCACAACCACTGAACCACACCAGCTGGGCCCAGTGTCTATTTGAAATGACTCCTCTCCATAGCCAAAGTGTAGTCAAAATTAATTCAAATGTTATAAAACATTCTAATGCTAAAAGTCATTCAGTATTATTGAACTGGAGATAAATCCCAGAACTTCCGGGGCTTTCTTGTGCTGTAAAAGGCTGTTTCTCTGGTTCACTCAAGCAGCTTCCGACAGAGTCCAACGATGCCACTAAGCTCGGTAACGCACCAGACTGCAGTACCCAGCTCTGGCCTCCTCCCAAAACATGGCAACTGTGTCCCCAAAAATAGGATGTGTGAGGGTAAAAGGCACAGTATTCTGCTAGCTAAAGGAATAGCAAACCAGCCCGGCAACCCTAAACGCTCCTTTTCCAGGTAAATAAAATATACAAGGGGGAAAAATTAAAATGCACTTACCTACAGAGTAAGGATTTTAAAATACCAATGTAATCCCTGTTTCAGAAATGTTAACTGTAGTCACCTGGTCACGTCCATTTATGTATTTTTTTAGAGAGAGGAAGGGGGGGAAGAGATAGAAACATCGATGAGAGAGAATGTCGATTGACTGCTTCCCGCATGTCCCCCACTGGGGATCAGTCCCACAAGTTGGCATGTGCCCTGACCGGGAGTCAAACTGGGACCTCTTGGTGCGTGGGTCGACACTCAACCACTGAGCCACACCAGCCAGGCCCATTTACATCTTAATGATGTATCCAGACTTGATTTATCATTAAATACTTCTAGTCAAAAATATTAACTTTAGCCCCCCTGCCCCTTCCCTGTCCATCTCCACCCCACCCCCTAAGAAACAGCCACTATTCTGACTTTTCGCCATAGATTAGTTTTGCCTGTTTTAGAAGTTCATATAAATGGTGGCATATAGTATTGCACTCTGTTTCTATTCCCATCCCCTCGGCCCCCTTCCATTTGGCAACCATCAGCTTGTTCTCTGTATCTATAGGTCTGTTTCTCTTTTGTTTTGTTTTTCTATTTATTTTGCTTTTTAGATTCCACATAAAAGTGAAATCATTCGGTTTTTCTTTCTCTGACTCATTTCACGTAACAGAATGCCCTTTAGGTTCATCCATGTGGTTGCAAATGGCAAGATGTCACTTTTTTATGGCTGAGTAATATTCCATTGCATCTACATACCACATTTTCTTTGTCCGTTCATCTACTGATCTCTCGGCTGTTGTGAATGATGCTGCAGTGAACAGAGTTTGCACATGTGTTTTTCTTTTCTTTCGCTAAATAGCCAGAAGTGGAATTGCTGGGTCATATGGCATCTCTGTTTTTAATTTTTTGAGGAAGCTCCATAGTCTTGAACTTTTGTTTCCGGCTGTGTTCACTCAGGGATGTCACTGGTATCCCTCTAGATGCTGGTGTTCAGGGAGGCACCGAGAGGCGGAGGGATTGTCGGGGTCACCAGGCACCTCACTGCTGGAACCCAGGGCTCCTGGTGTCCAGTCTGCCCAGCTCAGCGTCTCTGACGCCCCACCCCAACCTCTTCCCGCAGGGCGAGAGGCTGAGCCACGCGGTGGGCTGTGCGTTTGCCGCCTGCCTGGAGCGGAAACAGCGGCGGGAGAAGGAGTGCGGGGTCACGGCGACCTTCGATGCCAGCCGCACCAGCTTCGCCCGGGAGGGCTCCTTCCGCCTGTCGGGGGGCGGGCGGCCTGCTGAGCGAGAGGCTCTGGACAAGAAGAAAGGTGGGTGCTGGCCAGAGGGGAGGGCAGGGCTGGGCACAGTGGGCCCGGTGGGGCCAGGGTCCGGTTTGCAGGGGAAGTTGGAGTTACAGGGCCTCTGCAGTTGACAAAGGGCAGCGCCAGCCACAGAGTTCGGCTGCAGTTTCCAAAGCTCACTTTAGTTCAAGGAGTTCTCTGGGGCGTCTTTTGTAGGCCACAGACGCCTCTGTGACCTGCCGGCTCAGGGAGGTTCCCTGGCTTTTCAGACTGTGTACGAAAAAATGAAATAGAAAATACCAGAATAATCGAATGTAGTAAGGATAAGTATAGCTTAGTGATATTTTTATTTCAGTATATGTATTTGCACGTGTGTACGTTTTATGTGTGTATGTGGAATGGGTTACCACGTAAAGGGTATTTCTTACTCTAGGTTGCCATCAAGAAAGTTTGAATAATATCTGATAGACTCTAACATTCTAGGGGAATGGCAAATACCCATGTACGTTCTAAAAATTGTTATTTTAAACATAAGTGTCTTATGCAAAGAATTTTGCAATTGGCAAAACAGATTACAAAGTAAAGTAAACAAAGTCAAGTTAACAGAGGGCCTGGTCTTTGGGGGATTGTCTACAAAGAACTCACTGAGTCCTTACACGGCCCTTCACCGTGTGCAGATATTTCTTTAGTGTTAATATAGGGGATTAGAATTTACAAAGACTGTTGTCACATGCTTTCGAGGTTGCAAAGGGTTTTGCTGCTTCCGAAGGGTATTCTAGCCTGCAGGTACTTGGCGCTGTGGAAAGCACTGTCCAGCTTGTGCGGCGGCCGGAGAGGTGACAGTGCGTGATGATCCCCGTGATGATCTGAGCCTTATCACGCCTCGGGCGCGCGGAGTCACGGTCTCCGGCCCTGCGCTCATACAAAGAGCCCTTTCTGGCCCTGGCCGGTTTGGCTCAGCGGTTAGAGCGTCAGCCTGCGGTCCGGAGAGACCCGGGTTCGGTTCCCGCTAAGGGCATGTACCTCGGTTGCAGTTTGTCCCCGGCCCTGGTTGGTCGTGCGGGTGGCAGCCACTTGATGCGTCCCTTTCACATCGATGTTTCTCTCTCTCTCTCCCTCCTGCTCTATCTGAACAAAGAATGAAAAAGTGTCCTCGGGTGAGGATAAAAAAAAAAAAAAAAAAAAAAACAAAGAGCCCTTTCTGGCTTTGCAGTGGAGCGTGTGTGTCACAAAGTTGTTTACCGAGTTTTTATCAGATTACAAAGCGTAGAATGTTTACGGACTCTTCTGACCCTCTCAGGAGCCCCCGGGGGCGGGGGTTGGGGAGCAGCAGAGGGATGTTTATCTCAGGTTCACAGTTGGGAAGCTGGAGCCCAGAGAGCAGAGGGGACTTCCTGAGGTCACACAGTGAAGGACCCGGGGGGGCACAGGTGGTTTCCCGGTTCCAACCTGTCCCAGGCTATTTCCACTGCTCTGGGCCAGGCCTGGTGAGAGCCTCAACCTGGAAGAGGAGGAAGCAATGCCGGGGGACCTCCCTGCTCTCTGGGCCTCAGTTTACTCTCCCTGGGATTCAGGCTGCAGCTTGGGTGAGGCCCCGATTGGAGGGTGTGTGTGTGTGTTTGTGTATTGGCAGGGGTGAGGGTACCCCGCTAGTTGAAAAGCATGCCTTGGGCTGAGTGGGAGGACAGGTGTCCCTCAGAGAACAGAGGACAGTCCCAGAGCGGAAGAAGCCTAGGCTGAGGAGCTGGAAAGATCTGGAAAACTCCCCAGAGGAAGAAGTGTGCCAAGCTGGTCTAGAAGGATATGGGGAGACTGGAGGAAGGGACGAGGCAGTGAGGTGGGAAGAATAGTGGGAGGTAGAGGCAGAGAGAAAAGCAGACAGAATGACAGATGCAGGCAGCGTGGCGTGGGGAGACCAAGCCAGAGGGAGGCGGTCTGGGGTGATTGTTTGGACCACCAACTCCAGTCAGCCTGCCTCTTGTCAGCACTGGCGCTTGGGCAAGTCACTTACCGTTGCTGGACCTCAGTTTCCACATCTGTAAAGTGGGGAGACTGGTAGTGCTGACCTCAGTGGGTGGCTGCAAAGACTGAATGCGTTACAATTGAAAAGCACTTAGAACAAGGCCTGATACGTTGGTCATGCACCAAGTAAGTGTCCATTAAATTAGTCAGAAAAGGAGACGTAGGTCTCATAGGGAAATGGGACAGCAGAGGGAAATAGATTGGTGGCATAAAGCTAGAGACGCACAGAAGGTCAGGTTGGGGGACAATTTCTCAGTGGCCTCCTGGGGAAAATCATCTAGGCTTGGGGGGCGGCGAGGGGCATTTGGGGCCCTGACCAGCCTGTCTTGAGGGCAGGATACACTGAGTGAGGAAAGCAGCCTTGGGGCACGACCAGAGCACCAAGGGAGAGGCCTCGAATGCCAAGGTGAGGTGTCTAACCACCTGTCTCCTCCATGTTTACAGCAGAGGCAGCAGCTGCCCCCACTGTGGCTCCCGGCCCTGCCCAGCCCGGGCATGTGTCCCCGACACCGGCCACCACATCCCCTGGTGAGAAGGGTGAGGCAGGCACCCCGGTGGCTGCAGGCACCACTGCAGCTGCCATCCCCCGTCGCCATGCCCCCCTGGAGCAGCTGGTTCGCCAGGGCTCCTTCCGTGGGTTCCCGGCGCTCAGCCAGAAGAACTCACCTTTCAAACGGCAGCTGAGCCTACGGCTGAATGAGCTGCCATCCACGCTGCAGCGCCGCACTGACTTCCAGGTGAAGAGCACAGGTGAGCCCCGGATCAATACCACTGTGTGCGCAGGAGATGGAGAACAGGTGGTAGGCACATGATTGATTAGCACCGTCCCCTGTGTGCAAAGGGAGAGAAGTGGAACACATTGTGATCGATTAGCAGTGTCTGCTGTGGGCAAAGGATAAAAGGAAGGTGGCACAAGTCATGATCGGGTGGCCGTGTCTGCTGTGGTTGGGGAAAGGCGAGAGGGGCCGATTAGCAAAGTCCGCCCTGGACAAGGGGCGGAGGGCAGCTGCGCCGATGCCATGGTTTTGCTCAGGAGGAGACGAGGCACCACAGGCTAATGCTCCCTGCAAGCATTTACCAGTCGAGCCGTGACGTCTGGCCAGGTGAAGAGTTCAGGCTGAGTCGCGGAGGATTGTGATGGATTAGCAGTGTCCGCCTAGGGCCAGGAGGATAGAGCGATGGCTGACATCACGATCTTACTACAGTGTCTGCCATGGACAAAAAAGAGAAGGTGGCACACCACGTGAGTGATCAGCAATGTTTGCCCTGGGCAAGGGAGAAGGAGAGCGATAGGAGTGTTGTGTTTTCACGAAGGAGAGACTGCTGGGATTTGGCAGGAGGAAACGAAATGAAGGCCACAGTGAGCATGGGAATCATGGAGTCAAGGATCAGGGTGATGATCTGTGATGTCACTTGTGGGCAAAGGAGTAGGCCAGGGCAGCACCCACCGTTATTGATTAGCAATGTCTGCCATGGGTGGTGCTAGGAGAGAGGCAGCATAAATGTCCTGTTTTGCTTGGAGGGAAGATGGAGTTCCAGGGACCTGTCTTCCAGCATTTGGCCAATAGAGCCATGAGGTCTGGCTAGGTGAGGGGTGAGGTGAGCACAGAGTGCAATGGTGCAAAAAAGCATTGTGCTCCATTACTAATGTCTGCCATGGGCCTGGGAAGGGGGAGAGGTGGCAGGGTACCATATCTTGCCCAAGGGAGACAGGCGGGAGGGCTGCCTTTCCTCCCAGCTGTCGGTGAAGTCATGCGGTCTGGCCTGCTCTCCTGCCTCCAGACACCTAATCTGAGACACCTCCCCCTCACGGCCTGGAGGACTGGTGTGGGAGGTGTCAATCTGGATCCAGGAGGCTGGGCTGCTCCAGAAGGGGAACAGATGCTGGTGCTTGTTGAGAAGGACGCGCGTTCACTCTGTGTCCTGCCGCATCCCGCTTTCGCTGTCCTTTCGCAACCTGACATTCAGCGCACATGCTCCCGGAGAGGTGGCAGCCCCCTGGGCTTTATCTGGAAGCTTCACTCGCCTGTAGCCAGTTGCTCATTTGCTTGGATGTGACTTGTCACACTAAAATTTCACCAACTCATACAGACGTCCCAGTCTGCTGTAGGTGTCACACACTTAGTCATGTGCTCACCAGAGACACACACACTGGGAAGCTGCACAATCAGATGTTGCAGCCACACACTTAGAAACCACAGATCCAGAAATCACACGCCCAGACGGATACGTGGCTCACAAACCATACCCCCGATTCACGCACACTTGGAAGTCACACGTGCAGATTCACGAACACATTCATGTGTTACATGGGCAGATTGGCTCACACTTGGGAATCGCAGTCAGGTCGCCACACACCTGGATCTCAGTCACATTCAGATGCCACATCCTCAAAGCTGCACACTCATTCGGACTAACACACGTGGTCGTCACGTAATTGACCTGGAAGCCATGTACCCTCCCATCTGCACACCCCCACGTCACACCTGCTGACTCCCATAGTCAGTTTCTTTTTCATGCTCACCGCAGGATCACAGATGCTCCTTGGAGACAAACATGCTGAGATATCACACACTTGTCACACACCACACTTGGCAGGTCCTTTGTTGTTTATTCAGATGGTACCTTTGCTCATCCCAAGTGCTCACGAGGCCACCAAACCTGCTCAGTGTCTTCCCTCGTGATATATGTTACAGGCAGGGTGGACAGGTCCCCATTGTGCCACCCAAAGCAGGACAAATGATCCCCGGCCAGTGAAAACAGTGTGGCCAACATCCATTTTGACTGGTCGATGCTCTTGCCATCTGTGTAGTTAAACATATTTCTTAAATTCATGTTTTTAAGCATTTCAAATATTTCTTCTTGTTTGTGGCTGCAGATAGGTCCTCCTTGATTTGGGGGCCCTGTGACTGTCTGCCATCTAATTGTCGGGGAAATCCCCCGGGGCCGAGAGCTCAGAGAAGGAGGCTAACTGCTCCGTCGCTACGTCGAGTTTATTAAGGGCACTGACACAAGGCACAGCTTGGGCAGCAGCAGGACCACAGGGATGTCCCCTGTGCCATGTGTCAGGCACTACGGGATTCTAGAGGACAGGGCAGGAGGGAGGGGGACTGGGCACAACCGGCCCAATAAGGGGAAACACCTTACATGCTTGTGTGGGGCTGGGCGGTGACCACTTGCAGGAACCAGCACACCGGGGCCTGGGGAGGGGGGCGGCCAGACGGTCTCTGAGGGGCTTTGCAGGAAGCCATCTCTCTCCTGGCCCCGATCTAGCTTGTGGGTCCAGCAGCGGTCACATCATGGAACAGCCTCTCCTCTACACCAACGTCACACATTACTTGTTCCACTCAGATGTCACACACACATATATGCACAGAGTTATCATTTTGTGACCATGGCCACTTAGTTACTTCAGAGCGGACCCATTGACCCACACACCTTGTGAGAGGGCCACCTGAGGGCGCAGGGGTCAAGAACAGGGTCTGGGCCTGGTCACTGACCTCCTTTCCCTGACTTCCCAGTGCCCGAGATGGAGCCTCCCGGCGCCAGTGACAGCGACAGCATCAACGCTCTGTGCACGCAGATCAGCTCGTCTTTCGCCGGAGCTGGGGCACCAGGGCCACCGCCTGCCTCAGCAGGTAAGCCCAGCCCGGTGCCCCCTGCGTTCTCCTGCTCCCTCCAGGGCCACCTCAGGGTCTCCAGGAAGCCTGGCATCCCACAGGCTTAGAGTATGGGACCACCTTAGCCCACTGATCACCTTGGAACCATGGGATTTTTTTTGTTTTGTTTTTAAATCCTCACCCAAAGATATGTTTTTATTGATTTGAGAGAGAGAAGCATCGATCGGTTGCCTCCCATATGTGCCCTGACAGGGGATCGAACCCACAACCTAGGTATGTGCCCCGACCAGGAATCCTTTTGGTGTACAGGATGATGCTCCAACCAACTGAGCCACCTGACAAGGGCCCCGTAGGATTGTTCTTTTTTTTTTTTTTTTTTTTTTATCCTCATCCGAGGACATTTTTCCATTTTTTGTACAGACAGAGTGGGAGGGAGAGAGAGAAAGAGAGAGAGAGGGAAACATCGATGTGAAAGGGACACATCGAGTGGCTGCCACCCGCACGACCTACCAGGGCCGGGGACAAACTGCAACCGAGGTACATGCCCTTAGCGGGAACCGAACCCGGGCCTCTCCGGACCCCAGGCGGACGCTCTAACCGCTGAGCCAAACCGGCCAGGGCCGTAGGATTGTTCTTAAACCTTCCTGTCTTAGAATAATAAAATTCAGAAACCTACAGCCTCAGAATCACAGGACATGTGAATGTGACAGACTTGAAGCTGTGGAACCTCGGATGTCCAGCGTTAGAAGAGGCTCTCTAGAAACAGCGCCTCGGACACCTTAGGGGCACGGAGCACCTAGGCTCGCAAGCAATGTAAATGTAAAACTCTAGAATCTAAGAAAACAGAAACTTAAAGTCATCGAAACTTACTCATTCCTTGAGAATAGTACAGTCTGAGAAAGATCCATGGTGCCTTAGAATCTTAGCCTCCTAAAACAAAACTGTTTTGTTTTTTCTTAAAGAGAAACCCGGGTTCTGGTCCCTGCTGGGTTCTTATTTATTTTTTTATCCTCACCTGAGGACATTTTTTCATTTTTTGTTCAGATAGATTAGGAAGGAGAGGGAGGGAGGGAGGGAGGGAGGGAGGGAGGGAGGGAGGGAGGGAGGGAGGGAGGGACAAACATCGATGTGAAAGGGACACATCGAGTGGCTGCCACCCACACAACCCAACCAGGGCTGGGGACAAACTGCAACCGAGGTACATGCCCTTAGCGGGAACCAAACCCCAGTCTCTCAGGACCGCAGGCCAACGCTCTAACCACTGAGCCAAACCGGCCAGGGCTTTATTTTTTTATTTAAAAAAAATTTTTTTTTTCTGTATTGATTTTAGAGAGAGGAAGGGAGAGAGAGAGACATATCGATGAGAGTGAACATTGATTGGCCACCTCCTGCATGCCCCCCAGTGGGGATCGGGCCCACAACCTGGGCATGTGCCCTGACCAGGAATCGAACCCATGACCTCTTGGTGCATGGGTCGATGCTCAACCACTGAGCCACACCGGCTGGCTAAAACAAAACATTCTTAAAATACTAGAACCAAAGGTGATATTAACAGGTCTGGCACCGACCCATCAGAAGTGAACTGGCCTCGGTGGTTGTCAGTCCCGACTCTGCTTTTCTGTCTTGGGGCCTTAGGATCTCAGAACTGTGTTTTCCTGGCCCTGTGGAACCGTGATGTGGTCCAGGATAGATTCGAGCCTGGTTCCGGAGTCTGAGCCAGCCTTGGGTTCTTTCCGATGCAGCCCTTGCCCTCACCATCCCTCTCCTCTATCCAGGGTCTTCTGCCTGGGGTGAGCCCTCCGTGGCCCCGGCAGCTGCCTTCCAGCCTGGGCACAAGCGGACCCCTTCAGAGGCCGAGAGGTGGCTGGAAGAGGTGTCCCAGGTGGCCAAAGCGCAGCAGCAGCAGCAGCAGCAGCAGCAGCAAGTGTCCTTGGTGCCTGCCGTACCCCCTCCCCTGCAGCCCTTCCCCGCCCCTGTGGGGCCTTTCGATGCTGCACCTGCCCAGGTGGCCCTGTTTCTGCCGCCCCCACACATGCAGCCCCCTTTTGTGCCCACCTACCCAGGCTTGGGCTACCCGCCCATGCCCCGCGTGCCCGTGGTGGGCATCACACCCTCACAGATGGTGGCCAACGCCTTCTGCTCAGCTGCCCAGCCCCAGCCCCAGCCCGCCACCCTGCTTGGGAAAGCTGGAGCCTTCCCGCCCCCTGCTGCACCCAGTGCCCCTGGGGGCCAGGCCCCCCCACGCCCCAATGGGGCACCCTGGCCTCCAGAACCAGCACCTGCCCCGGCCCCTGAGTTGGACCCCTTTGAGGCCCAGTGGGCAGCACTAGAAGGCAAACCCGCTGCAGAGAAACCTTCTAACCCCTTCTCGGGCGACCTGCAAAAGACCTTCGAGATTGAACTGTAGCCCGAGCCGCCCCGTTATCTCCAGGTGCCCCACACCTGGGAGTGGAGGCCCACCTCTCCCTCATCCTGCTCCACGGGGCTGCGCCCCTCAACATCCCCTCTAACCCCTTCTCTGGACCACCCCCACAACCACTATAGAACCGACATTGTGCCGCCCAGGTTGTGACCAGATGGAATTCAGGGACGGACCCAGCCTGGCTAAGGGACCCGCTTCACTGCCAGACGTAGGCTGGCAAGGCTCCTCCCCCAGCCAGACGCAGGGATGGCCACAGTCCCGCTGAGTGCCCTCGGCTCAAGCTACTTTTCCAGTTTCTGTTGTTGACCTTCCACCTTCCGGTGTTGGGTGGGATGGGGGAGGGATGCCCACTTAGGTCGCCCCCCCACACACAGCACAAGCAAAGGGCTTCCCTCTGCCCACCCGCTGCGTCACTGCCAATGCTGTGCTCACCCCAGTTACCCCCTCTCCCCCACTCAGGGGCCCACATCCTCCTAGGGCCAAGGTCTCGGGGGCAGGGGCCAAGTTGGGGGCCCAGGAGTGGGGTAGGGGAAAGGGAAGGAGATGCTCAGTTACCTCACATTGGTGCCCGCTGGAGAGGGGTCCAGAGGAAGGGGTAGGGATGCCTGGCGGGTACTTTTCTATCTTTTATTTCCAGATTTTTTTGTATCTAAACTTGCAGATTTGTATTATACCAGGACAGCCAATAAAGGAAGAATATAATGGTGCCCCTCAGGAAAGCGGGGTGTGTGTCCGGGGGGAGGTGAGGTCACACGGCCTTTCTTCCTGAGTCGTCCCCTAAAGAGGAGGGTGTCCCTGCATAATAACCTGAGTCAGACCTTAGCAGCAGATAACAGCTGACCTGGCACTGGACAGGTGAGTAGTCAAGGGTGCCCCAAATTCATCACCCCATTTCTGATTCTTACAGATTTTTGAACCAAGGAATTAACATTCTAATCTGCTGCTAATAAGTGCAGTATTAAAATCCCTTCACACAATCAGGTTTGGAACGGTACATCTCTGAGTGGCCAGTTCTTGTGTCATCAGCTGTATTCTTGGTAACGGAGGCCCAAGTGTCATTTGATGTGGCAGCAGGTTTTTGAGTCTGTCTTGTTTCTTGGGCCCCTTGATATCATCTACGACATCGATTTTTATATAATATACAAGTTATATGCTTAACATAGATCTTTAAAATGAGGTGATTGATCTGGTGAAACCCAGTGTTCTATCCCCATTGGATGCATGGGCAAGCGGAGTCACTCACCCACGTCACACACCTGGTTAGTGGGGGGACCGGGTTCATACCAACCTCAACTACCAGGCTGTGAGGGAACAAGCCTAGGGCCTGCTCTCAGGAGTTTGCATTACAGCCCCGCACTCAGCTGTGGATCCTGGACCAGGGGACCAAGGGGATCCCCAGGAAGGGAGCAAAGCACCCAGCTGGAAATGAGCTACACTTGGCTCCTCTCCAAGCCTTTGCAGATGCTGTTCCCTCTGCCTCGAACACTCTCCTGATGCTACACCTCCCAGAGAAGGCCACCCATTCTTCAGGCCTCGGGTCAAGTATCCTCTTCAAATCAGGAGCACTCCCCCCGACTTGGATCCTACAGGGCCCTGTCCCTCTGCCTCTGTTTCGCCATCCAGCCCTTTCCCGTTGGGGCTGTCACTGTCTGGTGTCCCACTGAACTGAGTGAGGGTGGGTCCGGGCGCTCTTGGTCACCTGTGTGCCAGCACAGGGCCAGGCACAGACGAGGCAACCTCTACATAGCGCTGGTGAGTGAGGGGCAGAAAGGCCTAAGGCTCGGACAGAGATGATTCCAGCTATTGGATTGATGGGGAAACAGGCCACTTGGCGCACAGAAAATCAGGGACAGAGTCAAGATCCTCTCCTCTGCCACAGGCTGATCTGTACACAAACACCAGTCCCACAGATGCAGATGTTCTGGCCTGCAGAGCTCCAGACACCCCGGGACTTCCACGGGCTCCACTGGGCCAATGTCTCCACCTTTCCACCCCTGCCCGATGGAGATTCTCCGGTTTCTGGTGCTTCTCCCTCCAAGGACACCATAGAACTGGGGTTACTCTCCTATCCCCCACATCCCCCTGGCTTGGGCTCTCAGAACAGACCCAGGGACAGCTGAGTTGACGTGCTGCCCTATCAGGTGACCTCGTCCCATCAGTGCAATGTGCTGCACCCCGCTCCCACCCTCATGGAGGTTATTTTTGGGTGGAAGTCCTGCTCAGCGCCCCCTTTGCAGCCCAGCTGCCCCCGCCGCACGGCCACTCGCCACCTACGTTGCCACGGTCTCTTCGGAAACGCTCTTGGCGTAAACAAGCCCCTGCGCTCGGCTCCTGCCAGGCCACGTGGATCGCGGCTGCGCCCGCGGTGGAACGGCGCCCCCTCGTGGCCCTGTCCTCGGGAACTCGGAGGGGCGGCGTTCGTGGCTCCGGGCGAGAGGCCTGCCAGACCGATGATACGGAAGAAAGGGTGTTTTTTAAAAATTGGAGTCTCAGTCCTGAGCAGCATTATCCTTCAGGCTCTGGCTCAGCCGTTCGCTCCTCTAGGAAGTCCTCCCTGACTCCTCCGTCTGGATCCGAAGCCTGCACTGGGCACCTGCGGTCCAACTCTGCTTCCCTTATCACTTCTGCCTCTGTTTACCCCTCCCTGCTCTAACCCCTCCTGTGCCTCCCGCATCCAGGCCCCACCCTCGTAGCTGTCACTGCGGATCTGTGAGGGCAGGGACAAGGCCTGTCGTCCCCTGTATCCCCCAGGGTGGGGCACAGTACTGCTCAGACGACCTATAGGGCACCTCCTAGGGAGCATTCATTTACTCCCTCAACCCATATTTTGCTTTGTTTTATTTCATAGTTTAATTGCAGTATAATGTACATATCATAAAATTCTCGATTATGTGCTTGAACGATTTGGGGTGATTTTAGAATACAGCCATCACCACAATCTGATTTTAAAACATTTAAATCCCCCTAAAAAGACGGCCTGTGGGCCCAGGCAGCCACTGATGGACTTTCCTTCACGTAGGTCTTCATTTCACGTGCATTTTCTGAACACTTGCTTCTATCAGTTACTGAGTGCTGAGGATGAGAGCGACACATACCACCCTGCCCTCAGGGAGCTCAAAGTCTGGTAGCGGCTTTGGCTAATGGGGAAATACGTCCACTTATTCATTCAAAATATTTATTGACAATTATTGAGCACTTTCCATGTGCCAGGTACTATTCTAGGACTGAGGGACATAGTGGTGGGGGAAACAGGGCAAAAATCCTGCTCTGCTGGACTTGATATTGTAAGGAGGGGATAAAAAATAAAGAAACAAGATGTGTGCTACAATGGCTGGTTGTGATTTTGAAGGAAAACAAAACACAAAAAAGAAACAGAGGAAAGGATAGTGATGGGTGCGATTTTAGACATGGTAGTCAGCACCTCTCGAAGAAGAAGAAAACCTTCGATCAGTGACCTGACGAAGTGAACGAGTCGCGCCCATATCTGAGGGATCCTTGTTTCTGGCCAGGGAAACAGCCAGAGCAAAGGCCCTGCGGCGGGAGCACACTGCAGGCTAGAGACAGTCGGGGATGAAGTCAAAAAGTTACAGAACAGCTGCCCAAAGCAGCCCTTTCCAAAGTCACTGTGACAATAACAAAACAACCCCACACATTTCCAAAGGGCTTCCAGGCACGCCCCTGGGTGAGAAGCACAGCCATCAGCTGCTGGGAGTCTCTGCCCTCCAGACTTCTGGAATGGGGTGTTGAGTTGGACTTTTCCAGGACTTCCAGAATTGCTACTAGGGCCAAAGCTGAGGACAAAAATGGCCAAGTACCCCATAGCCTAAGTTCAAGGTCCCAGCGATGGGACCCAGCCACCTACCCAAAGAACTCACGGAGAACACAGGGCAGGCCCAACTTCCATCATCACCCCCACGCCCCCTCAGAAAAGGATGAGGAGGAGAAAGAAAGTGCCAGAGAGGAGTTCTCAAGAAAAGAGAACTTTCCATCCCCTGTGAACTTGGAATCAGGCTTCAGCACAAGTTTTTCCCCTCAAATGTTTGTTGTGAAAAAATGTGATTCTAAGGAAAAGTTGAGAGAATTGTACAAGCTTCACATACCCTCCACCTAGAATCAGCAGTTGTTAACGTTTCATGCTGTTTGTTTTGTTTCTCTGAATCCACACACGTGTTCTCGCTCTCACTCACGCACGTGTCAGTAACTGCTGAGTCATCCTGAGTCCTGGCTCCTACATACTTCAGCATGTATCCTCTGAGACAAGGTATTGTCTTACCCATAATACCACTGTCACACCTAAGAACAGGAGCAGTCATTTCAAAAGATGATCTAGTATCCAAGACTATGTTTTAAAATGAATGAAAATGAGTGCCAGGCTGGTGTGGCTCAGTGGATCGAGGGTCCTCCCATGGACTGAGAGGTCCCGGTTTGATTCCTGGTCAGGGCACATGCCCGGGTTGTGGACTCGATCCTCAGTAGGGGACATGCAGGAGGCTGCTGATAGATGTTCCTCTCTCACATAGATGTTTCTACCTCCCTTCTCTCTTAAAAAACTCAATAAAAACATTTTAAAAATAAAATAAAATGAATGAAAATGAGAATCTGGTGAAGTTGTCATTAAGGTTCCCTGTAGCCTTTATCTAGAAGGAAAAGGAAAATTAGCATTGATAGCAGGTAGGGGCAGGCCCTTAAAACAGAGGAACCCTGGTGGTTTGCCTCAGCAGTTAGAGCATCAGAACGAAGGGTCACAGGTTCAATTCCTGGTCAAGGGTACGTACTTGGGAGGCAGCCCATTGATGTGTCTCTTGCACATCGATGTTTCTCTCTCTCTCTCTCTCTCTCTCTCTCTCTCTCACACACACACACACACACACACACGCTCTCTTTTTTCCCTTCCTTCTACTCTATCTAAAAATCAATGGGAAAATATCCCCAGGTGAAGATTAACAACAATAAAACTGTTTAAAGAAGGGGAAAAAAAGGAAAAACAGAAGGAAACTGCAGTAGTCTCCCCCTTTCCATGGGGGATATGGTCCAGGACCCTAAAACTGTAGCTAGTACCAAATCCTAAACATATTTACGATGTTTTTTCCTATACATATGTGCGCATCTCTTCACATGAAGGCAGCACTCTACAGCTTCTCTTTGGCAAATCTGAATTCCCAGCATCACTCCAGTACTCTTGCCCTTTGGGGCCATTATTAGGAAAGATAAGGGTGACTTGAACACAAGCACTGCAGTACTGCTTACTGTGACAGTCATACTGATAACTAAGGACGACCAAATGACTAACAGCTGGGTAGTGTATCCAGTATGGAAACGCTGGACAAAGGGATGATTCATGACCCATGTAGGATAGAGCCAAACGGCAAGAGATTTCATCACACTATCTGGAATGGGGTGCAATTTAAAGCAGGAGTTGCTTGTTTCTGAAATTTGTCACTTAATATTTTTTGGGTCACAGTTGTAACTGAAACAATGGAAATAGAAACTGTGGAAAGGAGGACTACTGGAC